TAGTGAACATTAATCCCATAGAAAAACAACTAACCTTTCCTAGAAAAATTATCAGATAGCAAGCGGGCGAAGCCTGCTAGAGTATATATATATATATATATATATATATATATATATATATATATATATATATATATATATAAGTATATTCTCATTGGATGTTTTCACAATCCTGTACTCTGGTAGTCTACAAGCATACATATGGTGAATATATTGGGTCAAAACAACAATTTAGTGTTTAGTAAATTTCAAAGATAATATTTAGGTATTTGTACAAAGATTTATTCAACCACATCTGAGGCATTTTGTTTTATTACCTTTCACCATCTTTGGGGCAACTTCATGATTCCATCCTCTCTCCCAGAACTTGGCATCTTTCTGTGTGATGAAATGTTCCAAGTGGTTTTACAGGCTTTCAGAGAATTTGTGTTCTTTCCATTTAAAATGTTTGGTTCAAAGATTTCAAGTAATGAATATATTTTACTTTGCCAAGCGATAGCGAGGTGGGGGGGCGAAGTCTGCTAGTACACAATAAAATCCAAAATTCCTTCATATAGGGGATAAACTTATTTCAATCGACGAAAAAATAAAATTCGTCTGTCTTAATTAACCCAGTATAGACTGAGTTCCTATAGGAATGGGATATTTAATTTTGACAGCTACAAAAAATTAAAAAAAAATGTTGAAAAGCTAATACAGAATTTATCTATTTCAGTGTTTCATTCAGACGAAAGGCACGAGGCGGTGGTAGGGGGAGGGTAGAAGGTAGTTGTCATAAAGGAAAGAAGTTTTATAAAATTAAACCCGGATATTAACCTTATGACATTAAACTGGGGTTATATGAGGAATGAAATGTTAATTTAAAACTAAGAGATTTTGGATTTTATTGTGTATGAAATATTTACTCTGCGTTTTTTTTTTAAATTTTATTGTGTAATATTTGCTCTGTAATAATAAATACATTGAGCTCTTTCTGTGGAGCAGTTTTAATATTTTATATTACTAGGATCCACTTGAAATTATATACAAACGGCTTTATTACTTTTACCATATATATATATATATATATATATATATATGAAGAAAAATTTGGAAAAACAAACAAAAATCCTTAAATGCAATTATGTTGTTTAAAATGAATGAAATGTCGACGTCTGACGTTTCGGTTCAATAAACCTTCTTCAGGACAATATTCATTAAAATACAATTCAGTTCAATTTGACAAAGACGATGGACATAAAAAAAAAACAACAAACAAAAACAAAACAAGTCTTATACAAAACAGATAACTGAAAATTTTAAAAATGATCAGCTTTCCGTTTAGCATGGTCACGTTGTCGTCATATGGGCGACGCTTTCAAAACGTATTCCTAAAAATTTTTGATTATTTTGAATGAAAAAGAAAATGAAAAGAATTCTATTAGGATCTAAAATTTTTTATGTGTATGCTTGTCGAGCATTAATCTCGCTAAAAAAACATTAAAAGAAACCAGGTCTAGTATTCACCGTGCGTAAGATGGATATTATACCTGCTTCATAAATCCTCCTGAGATTCTGTCGGATATATATCCATTTACATTTGCTTACATATATATATATATATATATATATATATATATATATATATATATATATATATATATATATCTTAAAAAACTAGGTAATTCGTATGGGTAGACCCAAGGAGGATGATATCCAGAGAGCTCCATGTAAATTCAGAGCAGATATGTTTGAATTAAAAACAGACCACTTTAAGGTTCCATGTAATAAATTATTTCACCACAGCCCTTTCAAAAGGGCTCTGGATCATCAGACTTTACTTTCAAAGGTTGAAATGAAAGATGAAAATAAATTTACACATTGGAAGTGAAGTGAGGAAGTGAAGTGGGAGAAAAGATATGAGTGAGTTAGGAGTTAGATGTACCATTTTCAATTCCTTATCCTTTTGGAAGTCTGATGATCCAGAGCCCTTTAAAAGGGTTGTGGTGAAATAACTTATTACATGGAACCTTAAAGTGGTCTGTTTTTATTCAAACAATATATATATATATATATATATATATATATATATATATATATATATATATATATGTATGTAAGGTTATTTAACTCGTCCACCCAGTGCGACGTGATGCGACACAAGGTCAGGTTTACTGTGGAGGACAGAAGCGTGTACACCCGAGCCAAGGACAAAAATTCCCAAAGCTTCCGCAAACTTCGGTTGCGCTGGCCTCATTGGCGAGCACATATCCCCCGTCTCTAATGCATTGTGGGATTATAACCTCAGGACCGGTCACCGCGCAGTGTTTATTTACCCCCCAGTTACGCTTTGTCGACTGACAGAGCCACAATTGAGTCGCACTCTGCCCGAAAACAGAGATGCAAATGAAAGATGATAAACTCTATCCGGCATGTACCTGGTAACTATGTATGTATCTATGTATGTATGAATGTATGTGTGTGTGTAGTATATAAATGTGTTATATTTATGGCGAATAGA